TTCGACTTTGAAAGTGGATAAAGACTTCCAATTTTTGTGTTCCTGGCCTGATAGCCATTCAATGTTACTTCAGGAATGATAGGTAAATTAAAATTTAGATAATTTAAGCAGTAGGCATCCAAAATACTCACTTGAGAATTTTTCAAGTTAAGCTCAGGTGCTGGTGGGATTTGGCCCTTTGATTCTGTAAACCACAAATAAAATGGGTATCTGTGTTTCTGTCCCTACACAGAGAAGGGTTTTTTTGTGACAAAGTAGCCAGATTGTTACAGATCTGTTTAAAAAAGCTAACATTTGGCTGCACAGCAGCAGCTCTTCAGTCTATGGTGTGACACAAGCTATTCTCTGATATAAATTGCCATGGGCCACTAATGAGAATATGTTTACGGTTCCAGCAGCAGTATAGCAGGCTTGTATGATAGCCAGTGAGATAGTTATTCTGTTGAGGCACAGCGATTCTAAAATGCAAGTAGCTATAAATCCACTGCAGCCTATACCACATGACTTCTACATTAAATAAATTGTTTACTGACACTACTTTATGCACAAGGCAAAATATCATAGTCACATCCCACTTTACGGCATCTTCATAGTCAATTCATTAGTTTGCTTCTGTTGAACATAAGGCCTGAGTTCTTAATTAGGATGCCGTTACCCTTTATGTGATGAAAGGGTGGCTATATCATCAGGTTTGTGACAGCAGAGTATTGCATAAATTCTGTGTTTGATTTTAGAGAACTGGCACTGCTGTAATTCTGCTAGCAATTCTCATATTAATTCTGGCTGCCTTCTGCGGACAGATACACTTCCAAGGCTCTGTGTAAAACAGAATTCATCTAACTAGTTTAGAGTCATCCGTGGAATTGTGATACAAATTACATGGCCACCTCCATCTATAGCGGAGAATTGAATTTAAAAGTTAGTTTCTTTAGATGAAACTAATGTTTTCATGTGAAAAGAAGATGGAGTAAACTCTCAGGAAATAGTTTTGATCAGTTTCTCACTAGACATTTTTCCAGAATCTGGTCTTACTGTTGTCAAAATGTTCCACCTAACTGGTTTGAAAATATCCTCCAAAAAGTTTCTTTAACTAGTCTAGGTTATCTTTAGAAGATCCAATTAAAAAAAAAAAAAAAAAAAAAAAAAAAACCACCCCCCAAAAAACAACTTAAAAGTCTTCAGACAAACAAAGAATGTAAACTGTATCCAGGTTGAGAGCTTGATTTGGCCCAAATTTGAGGCAGGACAATATTCAGACTCTTTAGAAAATTAAAAGTAGTAGAAGCTCCTATGCTGTTCAGAAAGAATTGCAACAGCTTAATAATGGGAGTTGCTCTTCTGTCTCCTATTTATTAATTCTGGAATCCCTTTGTGATGGCAAAGAAAAACCCTATACTTCAAACTAATGTGTGTGAGTGAAAAATGTCTAGACTTTTAGTCTTACTGACGGGCAAACTAAGGCTGCAGTCTAGTAGTTGATACGTCTCTGCTAGGAGGTGCTGCTTTTTAGGGTGAGACAAACAGGCCTGTCCCCCTCCTGTTCCTCTGCCTTTGATTTCCATGCTGAAAATGCTCTGACCTTGCTGTTTGAATGCAGTTCAGGGTCACCCTCTTCCTCTGCTTTCCTGCTACCCTCCTTGCCCTGGTCTGTGGCTTGTTGTGGCTCCCAGCTCATGCTGAGATACGCAAGTGTCTCAGCAGCTTGTATTCTTAGGTGTGGCTGCTTCACTGAAAGTTCTGCCTGTAAACAATGACCCCAGTGGTCGCTACTGGCTCCATTTTGTGTCTGGCCTATATGCCTGAAGAATGTCCAAAAGTTCTGTTTAAATGAACGTTTGATATATCAGTGAATGACAACATGCTGCAGAAACCGAGGTGTGTGAGTGTTTGAGCTTTAAAAAAAAACCAAACAAACCACCTCTGAACTCCTAGGTTTTCTTTTTTTATAGCTGTATGGGCTTGACTGCTCTGATGGACTTCACTTACCTTTTGCCCTTCTTGGTGCTCCTCCTAAGGAGCCTTCTCATGTCCTCAGTTCAATTTCTCCGATCCGTATCTAGCTCTCAGGTCTGAGGTAGAGATCTGTATCTCTGATCAATTGTTCTATTCCTGTATCCGGAATATTACTGTGGGTGTCACCCACCCAAGCTTTCTTGCTGGGCTCTATATAGATTTGAAGAGGCAGTTTTCCCCATTGATTTTTGGCTTGTATCCTACCCAGCTCCTATTTGCCTCACAAGTAAGCCCAGGACCGTAGGATTTCCTCCATTAGGCTGCACAGATTCTCTGTAACATCTGTTGCTTTTTGGCAGCTCTCTGCTTTGGGGTTGACTCTGTGCAAGCCCAAAGGAAGCTCTTCATGGTTTCCTCGCACCCTCCCCACCTTAAACTGTTTCTTTTTTCAGTGGTGGCTCCCTTTTCGTAACAGTTACAGGGTGATGTAATGCAGTTTCTTGATACTGTTTCTTAGTTTTGGTTGAATGTCTTGCTAAATCTGCTTTAAAGACTCAAGAGTCTGATTAACACGCTCATTCCCTCAAACAAAATCCATGCCAGAGCTGTAGGGTTCCCTCACTTACGCTAATTCAGACTCCTGTCTCCCTGGTAGCTTCTTGCTTTTGAGGTCCCTGCGCATTTGTTTCCTCCTTGTCTCTAGTGAAGCTGTATCTTTTTCTGTTGCTTGCAACTTTTCCCCAGTTGTCTTGGTGACTGATATTATCTAGTCAAAACCTTTGTTTTCACTTCTTCTCAAAACACCTAAGAGGCTTTTGACCCTTGGTTTGTGTTTCCTTATAGAAGATTGGGTGTGGTGAAATCTCCTAAATCAATTGTTGTTATTGCTGCAATGTAGTATGTGAGGTATCTGCTTTGGTTGAGAACTCTGTGGAGCAGATGCCTTGTCCTTCAGAAGCTGCTGGTGTAGTAGGCACCTTTAAATGGATATTAGATAATGTACTGCTTTTTTATTGGTTTGCTGATTAACTGATAAGGCAGCACTTCCCCAAAGGCTGTTGGCAGCTGGGCTTGCCATGCAGTTTGGAGGACAAAGTGGGACTAAAGTCTAGTTTTGAGGGAGGACAAAAATTAACTTAAAGCAATGCTGATGTGACACTTTCATTGAAACTTTCAGTTCATAAGAAATCTGTCATTTTTAAGATAAAGATACTATTCTGTCTTTTTGTCTTCCCCCAGCCAAATTAAATTGTGGCATGGCTGGGTATGTAGCTATGCTAGATTTGCGTGTAGAACTCCAAGAAGAAAAACTACCCATCTGTGTGTCCGTAACTCAAAGTACAAAAAAGTCTGAGCTGTGAGTGAACTGAAAAATGTGGGTTTTGTTTCATCAAGTCAGTGGTTTCTGTTTCTGAAGCTGGTGCTAGAGAGTAGCCATTTTGCTGGAAAGTGATGTCATTTGTAGCAAGTACAGGCAAAAATGAGGTGTGGAAGCTTCTTTGTGAGAGGCAAAATTTAATGTAGAGCATTTTATTAGTTAGCACCTAATGATTCTTCTGATTTTTTTTTTTTACTATTTTTTTCCTTGAAGCACATTAGGAATCTTGTTAGGGAGTTCTCTCCTTTTAGTGCTGCAGAACAGATCAGTTTGCAGCAAGATGGCTGACTTCACTGTTAGGCAGAAATGCCAAATTTTAATTTGCTTAGGCATGATGACATGGGGCTGGCTTTGTATTCTACTGCAGAATAAAGCAAGTATTATTTTCCTGGGGAACTGTGTGAAGCATACATCAAGATCTCATTTAACAGAGTTAGCCAGGAGAAAAGTAAACTTTAACTTAAGTTCTGGTCCAAATAAAAGGATATGACGGGTGAAGTGACAGATGTCTGATGTTTGTAGACCTTGGCAAAATTCTATATATGAAATGGTCAACTTGATATGTTAGTGGCAATTGCTTAACATGTACTTGCTTTATTCTGAAAACAATTGGATCATAAGTGCTTTGTTTTTTTCATCTTAGCACTGCAAGATAAATAAGAAAAATTCTATAAACTACGGTTTTTGCTGTGTTCATTGTCAAGGTTGATTTGCATGGAACCACAACTTCAGGCATTGCATCTACATATTCCTTACCAGAAATCCTGACCTTGTATTTGTATAATTATAATCACAAATTGAGTTTTAAAGTTCTATCTGCTTATTCTTTACCTGAAGGCAAGCATCTTGCTTTCACGCAAAATATTTTTGGTAAAAACAAAATGCAACGTGACAATAGGAGACTCTGACTTGGATATTCTTCCACGAAACCATTGTGGTCCTTCAAAAGGAGAACAGGGTAAATGTTCTTCAGCTTTAGTTGCAAACTTGCTCTACTGTGAAAATAAGCAACACCCCTCTACTCAGCACTGGTGAGGCCACACCTGGTCTACTGTGTCCAGTTCTGTGCTCCCGAGTACCAGAGAGACTTGAACATACTGGTGGAAAGAGTCCAGCAAAGGGCCACTAAGATGATTAAGGGACCAGAGCATCTCTCCTATAAGGAAAGGCTGAGGGACCTGGGACTGTTTAGCCTGGAGAAAAGAAGGCTAGGGGAGATCTTATCAATGTATCTAAATACTTGAAAGGGAGGATGTAAATAAGATGGAGCCAGGCTCTTTTCAGTGATGCCCAGTGATGGGACAAGAGGAGATGGACACAAACTGAAGCACAGGAGGTTCCTTCTGAATGTCAGGAAACCCTTTTTTTAGCATGAGGGTGACCGAGCACTGGCACATGTTGCCAGAGAGGCTGTGGAGCCTCCATCCTTAGAGATACTCAAAAGCCATCTGGACATGGTCCTGGGCCACTGGCTATAGGTGGCTCTGCTTGAGCAGGGGAGTTGGACAAAGTGACCTACAGAGGTCCCTCCTCATCTCAATGATTCTGTGATTCTGTGCAGTTTAAAGAGGTAATCATAGTTTCTGTCATAGTTTCTTGCCAATGTCTTGTCTTCTATTTACAGCTAAAATGATTATCTAAAAAGGCACAGTGTAAGATCTTGTATTTCATTTAATAGCCATCCTGGGATAACGTTCACAAAAATGCCCATATGCTGATTCCTACTCCAGATAAAGATGATGATCCAGTTGGTGTTGATTACTCTCGCTTTATACATCTAAGTGTTGTTCCAACTAGAGCTTCACCATTACCAGTTCTAGGGTAAGTGTGCCATTTTGCTGCTGCTTGTCTGCCTTCCTTTTGTCCTATGACTGGAGACTAAACCTATTGATCTTTCTTAGTTGGGCAAACAGAGAGGACGTATGGAAAAACATGATAAACAAAGAAGAGACGTATGTAAGGGATAAACTTTATATGCAGAGGCACCCTCTCCTGCAACCGAAAATGAGAACAATCCTTCTAGACTGGCTAATGGAGGTAAGCTTTTCAGTGCTTGTGAGTATTTCACGTGTGCTTTTCTTAAAGTGTACTAATAACTGTCATAACTACGTTTCATGATGTTTGCATAACCCATTTAGCACTAGACACTCGTCTTCATCTTAAAGTTTGTCAATGGTACCAAACTTAAGAAAAGAATATATAATGGGTTGAGTTGATGGTGTGCAAATGGACAATATATTCTGATATTCATTTAGACTGATAGCGGATAATAATCAGTTTGTCCCTAAAGCTCCACAATGTAAGCTTTTTAAGGTCATGCTGCAGATAAAAGCTGCAGAAATGATTGTGAAAGTGACTGAAAGAAGGAAGGTGTGGTGGCTTAGAGACTAGATGCATCTCACAACCTCTCTATCTGTTATTGGCATGTAGAATGTACTACAACTCTGTATGCAAGTCTTTTTTGCTGTTTGGATGACTTGGTGGCATAGTCTGTGTTCTTAATTCTGAAGTGTTTGTGAGAATTTTCTCTTCTGAGATGTTGGAATGATGCATCTTTGTAAAAACAAGGAATTGATGTTCTGACATTGTTAGAACATGTGCTTGCATTTCCTAAAAGGGTTTTCACTCTCATATCTTTGTTTTGGGAGTTACTGTAGTGGCAGTCATCTTGTGTCAAAGGAAACTGTTTAGCTCATGCTCTTAATTAACATGTTACTTCACAATAGCAGTGAAGCAGAAAGCCAATATGAATTTTATGTCTAGCTCTTGCCTTTTTTTTTTTTTTTAATACATCTGTAGCATCTGGTTTTGACTCTGTAACACTGTTCTTGACCTTTGTAATCTCTGATGTCTCTCCAGGTTTGTGAAGTCTACAAGCTTCATAGAGAAACTTTTTATTTAGCACAAGATTTCTTTGATCGGTTTATGGCAACACAACAGAATGTTGTAAAAACACTATTGCAGCTTATTGGTATCTCTTCTTTATTCATAGCAGCAAAGCTTGAGGTAAGTATCTACAGCTTTACTTAAACATAAAAATGTGAATGGACAGACAGTTGTACACTAGACGCGTTTTGGCAGGCTTTATGGAGTTTGTTTCTATGACTTTTCAGCTGGGAGGCAGAAAAAAAAATATTTTCTTTTTTTTTTTTCTTTTTCCAAAATTCCTCCTATGTTTTTTTTAGAAGTGGCTAAAATTAAGACTAGCTAACATCATAGTGTATCTCTCTAATCTTAAAAGGATAGTCTTCTCAGAGAGAATAAACGTAAAGTTTTAAATTGCGGTTGCTAAATGAGTTTTTGGCTGGCTGCTGTATGCATAGATGACTTGTTGCAATTCTGTTGTCAGTGGTGTACCTACTGGTTGATAGTCTGAGCTATTCTTTATTTACTGGAACAAATTGAACTATTAAAATACATAGCACTTTTTAGGTTCTTACTGTTTGTCTTTTAAGAGGGCTATTATTCTTCAATCTGTTCTCAAGCAACGGATAAAAGGCCTTTTCTTTAGGATGTATAAAAAAAGTCTTGATTATGATACAGTCTCAATGGTGCTGTAGTCAAACATGTTGTACTGATCCATCAAAAGTGAAAGGTGAAGGCTATGAGCAGGAAGGTTGAACGAGGAATCTGTATATTAAAGGCAGAGTAGAACACCATGAGTTAGGATGGGGTGTTGGTTCTTCTTTTCTTTTTTCCCCAATGTTTTGAAATGCTGAAGTAGGGGTAGGTTGGTTTTTTTGGTTGGTTTTTTTTTTTTTTTTTTAGCACATGAGACTAGTTTCAACCTATTCCACAAATTAATACTTGATTTCCTATCTTTCAGGAAATTTATCCACCAAAGTTGCACCAGTTTGCTTATGTTACAGATGGAGCTTGTACAGAAGATGAAATCCTCAGTATGGAATTGATCATTATGAAGGTAATATTTCAAAGTGGAATTAGTTCTACTTTAGTTTTTAAAAACATATAGCATAATCAGACTAAAAGCAGAGAGCCTCAGTTAATCTTATGTGCTGCTAAGAGGCACAATTTCTCTTTCTAATTAGAAAACAGCGTTCTTTAGGTAACAAGTGATCTAAAGCATCCACCAGTATGTGCCTATTAACAAAATGAATCATTCCCCCACCCTATCAGCAGGAGGAGGTACAGGAGAGGATTAGATTTGTGTGTTTCAAAGATGCCTTGATGAACTGGAATTACAGCTTCTGATCTGGAGTAAATAAAGTTGCATGGTTTAAGTTAGGAACTCTTTATTAATACTGAAGTCTTGTGCATGTCTGCTCTTTCAGGCTCTTAACTGGAACTTAAATCCACTGACAGTTGTATCATGGCTAAACATTTACATGCAAGTTGCATATTTAAATGAGCTTTATGAGGTATTGCAGCCACAATATCCACAGCAAATATTTGTACAAATAGCAGAGGTAAGACTGATTTCTTCCTTCAAATACTATTTCACTTGGAGAAAAAAAGTGTTCTTGTGATAGACTTATAAAACAATTTGTTGTCTTGTAGCTCTTGGATCTCTGTGTGCTGGATATTGGCTGCTTGGAATATACATACGGAGTACTTGCAGCTTCTGCTTTGTATCACTTCTCCTCATCTGAGTTGATGCAGAAAGTTTCAGGTATTGGCATTTATAAACTATGTCTAATGTGTTTACAAATGTTAAGTCTTCATTCAGGCAGATAAGCGTGTGTCTTGTCTTACAGGTTATGAATGGTGTGAGATAGAGGAATGTGTAAAATGGATGGTTCCATTTGCAATGGCTATAAGGGAAGTAGGAAGCTCCAAACTCAAACACTTTAGAGGTATAGCTCCTGAAGACTTGCACAATATACAGACGCACATAAACAGCTTGGATTTGCTGGTATGTATATGCATAATGAACTAAAAAGGTGTCTGTAAAATCTCCTACATCTTGTTTCTTCTTTGGTTAGAACATACAGTAAACTTAAGTGAAGTATTATCAGATTGAGACTGAGTGTATGCAGATGATAAAACGTGTAAGGTTGTATTCCAGTTGCAAAATTCTTGGGACAGAGACCTGACTTGTTCTGTATTTGGTTTAAAAAGCCTCTCATCTCAAACAGCAAATAATTACCCTAGAAATCGGAAGCATATTTCTACCCTTTAAAGTGCTTCAAGTATTGTATGTTAGACCTTTCTCTATAGGAAGTACAGCTAATACAACCTTGTCGTCTGAAAAAGAGAAAATAAAGACTGATCACTTGAGACTGATCTTGTGGGACTGTTATGTTGACAGTGGTGGTTGACAAGAAGTTGAGCAAGAGTGGCTTTTAGCATGAGAAACTTACAGAGGATCAAAATCTTGTCCAACAAATTGTAGTTAATGTAAGCTATCGGAGTTTTTTTTTCTATTTAGGTTATTCAGTTGTAGTAGAGGTTAAAGCTCTTCATATTCAGTTGCTTCTGAATATTGCTTTCTTGAAGATACAAGTACCATAATGCTGATATCAGATTCCAAAAGTTAATACTGACCTCTTGGGGTTTGTATTCACTAACTATTGTGTACTGCATGATTTATCAGTTACTTTTAGGAGGGTTAGATACAGATAAGCATTTCCAGATTAGCAGTCTATCAAGTTATAAAACACTGAATTATACTGATCTGTTGCATAAATATACCAAAGTAAAAATATTTTTTTTGTCTCCTTTTTCTGTGCTTTCAGGACAAAGCTCAAGCAAAACAAGCCATATTGGCTGAGCAAAATAGGACTTCACCTTTCCCCACTGGTGTCCTTACACCACCACAAAGTAGTAAGAAACAGTCTTCTGGACTGAAGCCAATATGACCTTAGAAACTGTTGACAGACAATTTTGCTGAAGTGCCTGTTCTGCTGGTTCTAACTCCTGCTCCATTACAGAAATGCTGCCAGTGAAGTTCATAAGCTTTTATGGAATCTGAAAAGGAAACCTTAATTTTTTTGTGACAGAAGAACTTTTCTATTTGAAATATTTTTATTGAACATTAAAATATTTTAAAGAAATGGATCAAGTACACCAGCCACTTAAAAGAACACCGAAGAGTGCTCCAAATGCTGCTACGGAGGGTGATGCTTGATGTGACCAACTGTTCAGAAAAAGGGCTTGAAGTTTAGATTAGTTACTGTGCCTGTTTGTCCTTTGGATAATCTGCAGTCATACTGTCCCCGGTTGACAAATGGGCAAAAAGTGCTGTGGAAGACAACATTTCAAAGCCTCTTTTTCAAATGGTTGGCTTACAACTTGATGCCTTTTTAAAAACTCTTTATTGTAAATGCTGCTATGTCTCTGTGTATCCATTTTTAATAAAAATGCTGTCTAAGACAGCTGGTTTTATGTATATTCCTATTTTTCTTTTAATTATGGTCAGCTAAGGTTTTTCAGACTGTGACCGCTCGTAGTGTGGGAGTTGGGGATGAATAATGTAGTAACTATGGCTTTATTTATTTACCACTACTGGCTTATCAATTAAAACTTCCTTTCTGGATACTAAGATAATATTGTCATGCTGGGCTACTTGGATTTCCCTTAGCCAGATGCAGGTGGCTAGGGAGGGGATAATAAACATGACAAGTAGGTGGAGAATCGTTCCACAACACACTTTCTAATGATCAGTGTATTAGGAAATTGTTGAATCAGATTGTCTGGATTGTTATGCTTAATAGCAAGAAGGGATCAGTGGGAAAATCCTACCTTTTCTTAAAACATAATCATTTAAACTTTGGGATTTTGGCATAGTCTTTGACAACTAATAGTCTTCTGTGCAAAATTGAATTCTGGAATGGTGTGTGCCTTTTTACAGGAAGAGTTGTCCTTGACCTTTGCAAGGTCTGAGAATCTGGGAAGTCATAGTAAGAAGTTTTCTGGAAAGTCATGGTTCTAGGAAAAAAAGGGAAATAGAGAAATAAATGTAAAAATGGTTGCTTGTTTTTCTCATGATACTCGCTTTGAAGGACTGTTCAACAACACTGAAAACTTTTGTGAGACTGCCAGGATTCATCATGTCCTTCTGTAGATAACTTAAATGCTACAACGCTTACATTCCAGGAAGCTCCTACTCTGCTGTTTGTTAATTTTTTCTAAACATTAGTTCCCAGCAAGGCTGCTTTTTATTATTGTTGGGTTGGTTTTTTTCCCCTAAGTTATTCTCCCTTTTGTTCTTCCCTTACCCAGTATTCTGATAAATGTTAAAGCTTTAATGTAATAAAAATGCCTATGGTAACTAATGGTAAGCAAATTATTTTATGTTGCTGGCTTTTTTTTTTTCCCTTGCAATGAATGGCTATAAGTTCTGTGCTAACAAAACAAGTCTGTTAGCTGAACAAGTTTGCTGGTGCCAGTTCAGAGAAGAATTAATTTCTCAGAGAACTACATTTCCTAGACAAAAGAATATTATATTTACCTATTATTGAAAAAGTTTCTAACATGGGAGGAATTGTCAAGACCCATTTTGGTACTTTGTCCTTAAATTTAGAACACAAAACTGGGGTGGGGGGAAAAATAACCCTCCTGAAATGTAGTCTCTAGGCTTAATTCCTAAATCACCAGCCAAGATTCAGTACTAGTCCTTTTGCTGTACTTTTCAGTACTTAGTACATGTTTCATCTGTTTCTAAAAAAAAAATAAATTTAAAAATCATATTTAAACTGTAGCTGGTCCCTTATAAATGGGGATTGCATTTTCTTTATGACTTTTAACTGTTCAAGAAAATATGCTGTAATAATATTACAGATACAATGAACTCTAACTTTCAGTTTAAGCTAAATATAACCTTCTGGTTAGTACCTATTCAAGGGTGAATGCAGGTGTTCATGTGTTCTCAGCTGTGTGGGAAACCTGTATCTGAGAGATGCACATTTATCTATGAATGAAACTGTTCAGATAACAGGCCTCTTTCTAAATTGGACCTCTGCTTTAGATAGTAATCCTGCTAATTTTTTTTTAATTCCCCCTCCCCCCAAAAGGTCAACCTGCTTTATTTCGATGGGAAGCAGTCTGTTCAGAGTGCAGAGATCAACCACTTTTGCAGCTTCCCAGGTAGGAATGCAATCATGCGCTGGAGACACAGTACTTTCCAACAGGGGTGACTTACCTTAAGAGCTATTTTCTTACTTTCTCATCTTTATCTCATGCTTTAAGAATCTTTGTTTCTGGTTGACTTGCAACATGTGTGGATACTTATGTCTGAGTGTGCTGTCTTTCTAGGGTAGCTTGAAAAATTGTGTACTTGTTGCCATACACTGAAAACCATTTTAGGGAGGAACAGTGTAGTTAATTTTAAGGAAGATAGTTGTTCCTATTGGAAAAACAACCAATGAACCAACAACAAAAAAACACCAAAAAACCCCCAAAACATCAACCCCAAAACAAACCCAAGAGGGAGTTCCCTCTGTGTTTCTTTGCCTGAGGATCCTGTTCTAAGTTCTCTCTGGTCCTGGACCAGGCTGGAGGCAGATTCACAGCAGGCAGGGAGAGAAGCAGATGGGCAGTTCTGCCTAGCTAGATAACAGAAAAAGGTTTAGTGTGTTTACAAGCGGGCTGAAGTTTGTGCAACGAAGATGAGCTAACATCAAATAATATGTTCCTGCAAACTGTCTCCAACTCGAAGTGCGTTACCCTGAGAGGTGGGGAGAGGGCTCCAGGGGCAACGCATGAGGCTGCAGTTCCCGCTGCAGGAGTGCGGGGGGGCTCTGGTGAAAGCAATTTAGCTGTGTGTTGCTGCACACTCCTCAGCTGGAAACTGTCTCTCCCTTAATAGCTACAGACCAGAATAAAGCATGCTGGAAAGTAAATTGAATTCTGCAGTAACCCAGGTGGCATATGATTACCTTCCTCCTCCTGAAAGGTTTGTCATAACTATGTATCAAAACTTCACCTTGGTCTGAAAGCTGGGGGCATCGGAGAAACTTTGAACAAGAGAAATGAATCCAGTGCTAATTTTGTATTACTGCTACTGCAAAACTGAAGGTTGCTGGCTGGGCTTAAACTGCGACAAGGTCTTAGGTCAGCGTCTCCCCTTGGTTCTCAGGAATTACAACACGAGGGGTTTTATTACATCCCTGCTTGCACGAGGTGGAGGTAAGCAACCGGCACAAGTTCAGTGGAGCGCTTGCACAAATATTCAGCCAGGCATCCCACGGGAGCTGCTGGCCCTGCAAGCTCTTGTGACCTGGCTCATTTTTCTCCTAATTCCTGGGTGCTGTTTCCTTCACATACAGTGTAGCTGGCTTGTCTCACAGCCGTAGCAGCCTGAACTCAGGCAGCTGGGTAAAATGCTCTTACTTCGACTAGGCTGTGAATTTGGACCTTGGTGCAAGCGTACGAGGCTTATAGCAGCATCACCTCTTGCGGGGGAGGCATTGGGGTACCTGAACTTTGGCTTGGGAATTGCCAAAGGCTACAACTGGCTTTCCTCCAGGCTTTAATGGGAGTAACACCCAGTCAGGGCACTGAAAGGTTAGGTAAAAGTCTGTTAGGAAATAGTCAGGGGGGCAATGTACAGTGCAGCAGTGGAATTGGCAAGTGCACAGGTTGACATTGGATAGATCTGCTTTACCTTGTCTGTTGGTGTCAATCTTCCCCTATTTTGGGAACACGCTTCTTCTAGGTATTTAATAACACACATTGAAAGCATCAGATTACTCATACCCTCATCTTCCAAACCTTCCTCCCCCACAACCGTCTCCCCTCAAAAGAAGGGAGACGCTAGCACATACTCTGAAATAATACAGGTTAACTCAGACTTTGTCTAGCCTTGAATTTTGGGGGGATTAAGCACAGCTCCTTCTTGCTGGCAAGGCTGAGGTCAGCTTGACCTGGGCTCTTGTAATCTTTCTGGAGAGATCTGCTCAGACTCGGCACATAAATAGGGGTGCAGGTCCATCGTGTGACGCCTGTGGCATAAAGCAGCGTGGTTCTTCTGTCCTCTTTTGGTCCTCCTGCCCTCGCCCCAGCCAGCATCGCCTGTGCTGCAGGGTGCAGACCTGCCGAGGGTGGGGTGGGCAGTCAGGGTGGAGTAACCTGAGGGGTTTGGGTTCTCTGGTTTTGTTTTTTTTTGTGTCTGTGAGATGGCAGGAGGTGATGATTACATACAAATATGAGAAGACTTTAATGTCCATTTCTTGCCCTTCTAGCACTTGATTTCCAGCCCATTTGTGAAACTTCTGTGCTTTGAAGTTAAGACTCCGGTAAAGAAGTCACTTGGCTTGAGGTGTTGAACAATATGCATTTTGGTGATAGGCTCTTTCAGCCATGCTACCTGCAAACAAGTCTCTTTACGTCTTACCTTTAAAGTACAAAATCTGTTTCTTTCAAGTTTTTAATTGTCTGCTACTGACACAACTTATACTTAATCAAACATTTAATTAAGACTGCAGAATATTGCAATACTACATAATCTGTCTCCTTTCAGTCTCTTGAAATAATCAGTTCATGCAAAGCACAAAAGGGTAAGTTTGTATACAAAGCTTTTTTATTTCTGTTTATGATGAATTTGAGATTATAAAAAGAAATAAAATATTCTTTGTAGAGTGAATAAATTCAGCATTTTTGAGACTCTGCAGACTGGCATGTTTGAGGACAAATTAGATCAAATGGCTATCAAGGAAGGAAGGAAAACTTTTCTGACCCCACGGGGCTTTGGTCCTACAGCTGCTGGCAATTCAGAGGAGCAGACTGTCTATTGGAACTGCATATCTAGGTGAAAACTCATTTTGTTTTACTGAGCTGAACATGCTCTCATGTAACTAGTATAGTAAGAAAGCAAATGTATTTTATAATGTACTGATTTTTGGTGTTTCAGCAGGGCTGCAATAATATTCAAGGAAGAAAAATATGAAAGGCCTATTTCCGTTTGGCTTAGGATATGTGATTGCCTGGGATATAAGGAAAAATGATGTGCAGAGCCTCACCCTAACCTTCCTCTCACCAGTGAACCCTGGCCGGATAGACCTGTTCTTCCTCTTCCCAGGCATTTCAGTTAAATACCTGCTTGCTTGAACTGAAGAGGCTGCTAGTGACATGTGAGGGGTTGAAAATCCCCTACTCTTCGGCGTAAGACTAAGGCCTTACTTCTACCAACTCTGTACTCGAAGCCATGTGCACCAGCTTCTGTTCCGGGGATGGAGAAGAGCCTGCAGTTGCCCAGCAATACCTTCTCTTTGTTTGAAGGGGAAGTATTTCCTTTATGAGCATATTTTCCTGTGATGTATTATGAGTCTCAAATGTTACATTTCTGACTTGGGCTTGGCTAGAG